ATTCAGAGTTGTTGGGACTGGGGACACTATTTCCTACAATGAGTAAATATTCTTCTGTCCCCCAAATCCTCACCAGCAAGAGTTGTGATTTGATTTATTGATCTTAACCATTAAGGCACTATTTAGATGAAATCTCAAAATTGTTATAACTTGCATTTCCCTGATGATTAAGAATATTGAATATTTCCTTAAATGTTTCTCTATCACTTACATTTCATCTTTTGAAGACTCCCTGCCTTCTTCAGAAACCCATTTTTAGTTGGATTGTGTGTTTCAAGGTGTCTACTTTTTTAGTCCCTTATATATTTTGTTAGTAACACAGCTTTGAATATGTAATTGATAAATATCTTTGCCAGTTCTATATCTGAATGATGGTGTCCTTTGCAATACGTAAGCCCTTCATCATCATGGGGTTTTATTTAATAATTGTTGGTCTTACTGACTATGTTATCAGTGTCTCCTTCAGAGAATCTTTTTTGGTTTCAGTAAGCTTAAACCTACTTTCAACTTTTTCTCTTATCAGATTCAGGATATTTTGTCTTATGTTAATTTCATTAAAGCATTTGGGGTTGATTTTGTTTGTGGTTATAAATATACATATATGTATGCATATGTGTGTAAGTAAGAATATATGATAAATATAAAAGCTAAATAAAATGAGAAAAGATTTATTAAAAATATTTAATAAAAAAGTAGAAAAAGTTCTTTTATCCAGAGATTGGATTTTGTCAAAGTATGTGCTCAATTTTGGAGAAAGTTCCATGAGTTGCTGAGAAGAATGAATATTCGTTTGTGTTTGGATGAAACGTTTTATAAATATCTGCTAGGTCCATTTATTTATGGCATTATTTATGCCCAGAAACTCACTGTTCAGTTTTTGTCTGGATGCTATGTTTGTTAGCAAGCGTAGGGTAATGAATCATTCACTGTTACTGTGCTAAGAATCAATATACGACTAAAGGCATGATAGACTTTCTTTTATGTGTTTTGGAGCCCTGAGTATGTGATATAAACTTATATATTCTCTTGGTGGATTTTTCTTTAATTAGAATATAATGTCCTTCCCTATATAACCTGATTAGTTTAGGCTTGAATTATATTTTGTCAGCTATTAAAATAGCTATACTCTGTACTTCTTGGAGCCATTAGCTTACAATATATTCTCCCAATATTTATCTTGAATCAGAGTTTGTCCTTGATGGGAAGGTGTATATTATGTATTTAACAGAAAAATGTATTCTGTTTTCCAATAAAATATTTTGGATCGTGTCTTTTTATTAGAAAATTATGACCATGATAATGAGAGTTATAAATGATCAGTATTTACTGATTGATTTTATTTTGCTGCAATAGTGTGGCATTTTCTCTTTTGATTTAATGTTCTGGGATCATTTATTTTTGTGTATCCTTGAGTGAAGTTGACCTCTTTAGGATAGATTTTTTTAGTACCCTTTTTAAGAATTTTATTGATAGATAGGCATTACTTAACATTTTGTTTTATCATAGAATCATGTGTTATCTTATACTTCCATTATGACAGATAGTTTTGTTGAGTATAGTAATACCTAGGCTGCTATCTCTAGTCTCAGAGTAAGTAGAAAATCCTTATTGGCCTACTTGGTAAAAGTTTACTATAAAGTAAAGTATTATTATATTGAACCTGACTTTATATATGACTTGGTATTTTTCCCTTTCATTTTAAAAGATCATAAATTTATTCAATACACTTAGTGTTTTAATTATTATGTGATATAATAATCTCTTTTCTACTTCTGTCTACTTAGTATTTTTATGGTTCTTGTACATTGATTGTCCCCTCCTTCTGAAAGGTTGGGGAAATATTTTCTTCTGTGAATTTGTTAAGTGTTTTCGGTTCCATTGGATTGGCTTTTTTCTCCTTCATCTATTCCAATTATTTATAGTTTTAAATTTTTATAGTGTCCCAGATTTCCTACATTTTCATTTAATATTTTCTTTGACTGTAGTGTCCTTTTATTCTCCCTTGTATTCAATGCCTGAGATTCTGTTTTTAGTATTTTTATGTTCTATTGGTAATGCTTAACCATGAGGATTTTATGTGACTTTCTAAATTTTCTCATTTCTTTTTTCTTTCAGTTTATGTTATTTTGGTTTTTCTATTTGTACTTTATGTCATGGACTGTTTTCATTATTTTATTTAACTCTTTGTATGTATTCTAACATGCTTCATTAATGGATTTATTCATAATCTCTTTGAGGACCTTGGATATATTTATAATTGATAGGTTGAAGTCCTTGCCTTGTGCCGTAGATATATTGCACTACTCAGGGCACACTCTAATAGACGTGCTGGATTCTGATGGGGGTATTTTATCATGACTATTTATTTTGCTGTTTTTGGAATGGTGTTTAAGCATCTGAAGTGCTGATGATTGAAGTGACTCTAAGAGTTTATAACTGACCTTGCCATTGTTTAGTGTTCTGTTCTTTAGTTTCTGTTACCCTCTGTATCTTAGAAAAATATGATGACTGTGGGTTCCTCTGTAGAGAGTGCTTTTGCTGATCAGTGTGTGACAGAAAGGGACAGAGATAGAGTGTGAGAAAAAGCTGACGGAGGCTATGTGTCATCTCTTCGTCATAAAGTTTAAATCAGAGAATGAAAGGTCCTGGGGCCATTTCTTAAGATTTGAGAAAATCTGATATCAGAACATCTGCATAAGTTCCTAAAATTACCTAAGTAAACTTTTAGTAAAGCTTTCATTTTTTTGTATACAATCTTATTGTGTAGCAGCTATGATTAATAACTGGATGCTCTTTTCTCTAAGCTTCTAATACTTCCCAATACTTCCATAAGTGCTGTTGGAAAAAAATACAAACACTGTCCTCTGCTGTTCTTCATCAACATTAGGCTGAAGAACCAACCTATATTCATAAGTCTCCAGGGACATCCACTGCTCCCCCTGAGATATATGTGTTGCTTGGGGATGGTCTCCTGTCTTTTGTTGGACAATATAGTACAAGATCAGACCCCATTTCAGAGCAGAGCTGTACTAGTGGAGAAGGAGAACAGCAAAAATGCTTTCCTGGATGTTAGGTCATTGCTTTAGATATAAAATATCTAACAACCACCTTTTTTTACTCCTATTTGACTATTCATGTCATAATAGTAAGTATCAATA